TGGAACTCCCTCTGACATAGAAATGACATGTATTGCCTCTGCTGTTTCCAAGCTCAGTTAAGGCGTATTGCCTAGAACAAGTGATTTATGTAATGTTATATGGTACAACAGCAATAAGGTCTTGTTTAATATCCTGGTATCTTTAGAACAAAGATAAGTCAATAGATAAGGCAATAATTAAGCGGGACCTGGGTGAACCATGAAGAATAGTGCCCCATAATGAAAGTCAATACTTTTGAACAGATATACAACAGGTTCGGTGAGGAATATAAAGTGAGAATGTATTAGGACATCAAGGTGGTCATACATACTGACTGATCCCAGTTCTCTGGGACAGCTGAGAGTCCCCTAGTTAGGAAGAGGTGACCATGGGATGTCTCTCCTAACTTGCAGACTATGCGGTATCAGAGTTCCAGAAATTGCCTGTCTCTGAATTCGATGTAAAATAAAGTGGACCTTTAAACAAACTTAAAATGCATTCTTGACTAAACATAGCCTTATGCTATCAGGACTGCCTATTAGTTAAAACACAGTAGAGTCACTAGCAGCTACCCAGAACACATGCAGTGATTGGGGAAAGTAGGTGTAATGGAACCAATCCAGTCTGCGTTTGGGTACTTCCGTTATAATACCGCTTCCCGGTCCGAACACCGACCACAGACACCACAGCCGACCAAACAAGACTAGATGACACCAGTCTGTCTGAACATGGAACTCTTTATTTGAAACTCGAACTGGCTTTTTGTACACTCGGGAAAATCCCCTATCCCTGCACAGGGTGGGGCAATCTACACTTAGCAACAAGACACACACAGGTTTTCAAACTTCACAACAGCAGACAGTCCTGTCAGGAGGGAAGGCTGCTGAAGACACCCCCCACTAAGCTAATACACATAAACACATACATCCCATAATAGTTTTCTCCCAAGCAAGACAAACAATAGAACAATGGGATGCAGCCACATGGCATTAAACAATCAACAACCCCCCACCCCAATATTAGGACAGATCACCCTGTACCCCTAACAGGCACAGGGTGGCTTACACATAATAGGGATATGGGGAGCTGAGACAGGGGTCTCGCCACCTCTCCAAAGTGAGCTGGATTCCATGGGCCCCCCCACCCAAAGTGACTCCCGCAACATATCTCCCCTTTCGGCAGGAGACTAACACAGGATGAAACCCCAGACTGGTGGACTCCGAAGTTAACCTGTACTTCCAGTCCCCCAATGCCAGCACCCACACAGTTCCCCAAACAAATGGTGTCACACAAACCATCACTCACCCAGCCAACCTCTGCCTCTCTCTTAGAACATACCCGCCGCTGGGGACAGGTAAGGCCTGGTCCTTCTCCCTGAAGTCCTCTCAGCCACTGGGGAGAAGACAGAGTGGCTGGGCCGACTCCATCATGCTGTTGGGGATCTGGGCCGACTGCCCAGCATTCCTGGGGTATCCAGATAGTGACTGTAATCTCATCCACTTTGACTTGATGGACATCCCCAAGTGTTCGCAAAGTAAGGCTGAAATCCTCCTGTCCCAATGCTAGACCCTTTTCTGGGGTTGTGCCAGTGGAGACCGAAGTCCCATCCACGGACATCAGCTCAAGCTGCAGTTGTGAGGTGCCGGTAGCATCCTCTTCCTGTAGCTCCTGCGGTGCTGATTGTTCTGGGCAGAGGTCAACAACGCCATGCCCTGATGCCAGCTCTTCTGGTGGAGGCTCACCGGCTGGTTCCTCCTCAGCAGAAAAGTCAATCAAATCCCCAGTCCTTGGAACTGGTGTCTGGGGATAGGGGTTCACCATCTCCTGTCCGTGGAACCCAGAAGATGTTACCAGTGCTGGGCAGAGTTCAGCAATGTTTGGCCCTGTTGCCAGCTCTTCTGCTGGAGGCTCAGGTTGTTGTTCCTCAGCAGAGAAGTCTATCCAATCCCCAGTCTCTGGAACTGGTGTCTGGGGATAGGGGTTCACCATCTCCTGTCCATGGAACCCAGAAGATGTTACCAGTTCTGGGCAGAGGCTATCAGAGCTCTACGCTTTTGTCAGCACTTCAGGTTTGGGGACGGCAATCTCTGGAATTTCCACTGCCGATTCTTGAGCATGCTGCTGAACATGTTTTAGCAGTTGCCTGTATGCCCTTTCCAGATGCTGTTCTTTCATCAGCAGGTATTCCAGATCTGGTTCAAGCTCTGAGACCCCTGTGAGACCGAACATAGCCTCTCTGTCTTCTCGCAGATCCTCAAGGGTAGGTTCTACTTCATCGCCAAACACAAAATGATCTGTAAGGCTCTCCCACAGCAATCCAGGGCCACCAAAGTCATATCCCTCTGAAGAGCATTCTGTTGTCACCCCTAAATATTTATGCTCTGCGTACCATTGCAGAGCCCGATACCGGTTGTCCAGCTCTATCTCCTGCTGGACCAGTCTGTCCATCTCAGTCACCCATTGCTCCTCGGGTCGCTCTCCCAGGAATGGCATCCGTAACTTCCGATGGTCCCTGGTCCATTCCCCCGGGGTTGGATAGGACTTGCCCTTGTACATACCAGCAACCTGGAGGGCTCCACTCCAAAGCACCACCCGAATTCGCTGCCTGAGCTCCAGGTACTCATCTGCAGACACAGTCCTGGGGTATGTTGTAAGAATGATCCGCAGCAGCCCCGGGAACTCTGATGCCAGGTCCATATCTCCACTTGGGTGACTGATGTCTACTTTGCTGATCTTAAATCCTGGTGGTGGTTTGGATGTGTTCACAGCCAGGAAGCACAATCCCACTGCTTGCCACCAATGTAATGGAACCGACCCAGTCTGCGCTTGGGTACTTCCGTTATAATACCGCTTCCCTGTCCGAACACCGACCACAGACATCACAGCCGACCAAACAAGACTAGACGACAACAGTCTGTCTGAACATGGAACTCTTCATTTGAAACTCGAACTGGCTTTTTATACACTCAGGGGAAAATCCCCTCTCCCTGCATAATGACACAGGGCGGGGCAATCTACACTTAGCAACAAGAGACACACAGGTATTCAAACTTCACAACAGCAGACAGTCCTGTCAGGAGGGAAGGCTGCTGGAGACACTCCCCACTAAGCTAAAACACGTAAACACATACATCCCATAATAGTTTTCTCGCAAGCAAGACACACAATAGAACAATGGGATTCAACCACATGGCATTAAACAATCAACAACCCCCCACCCCAATATTAGGGCAGATCACCCTGTACCCCTAACAGGCACAGGGTGACTTACACATAATAGGGATATGGGGAGCTGAGGCAGGGGTCGCCCCACCTCTCCAAAGTGAGCTGGATTCCATGGGCCTCCCACCCAAAGTGACTCCCGTCACAGGAGCTAGCAAATCTGAAACTTCTAGGACAGCTGTGTTTAAGAAGGTAACAAGAGCTGGTAGTTGGCTTGGTGTTTAGGTTAAATTGATGAACTTCCTTTTTCACCTGTAGATGAGAGAAGGGTGACCCCCATTGGTAAGCGGCTTTGGCATCTCTGATACACTGTAGTAAAGAGCGCCTTCAGTGGGAACCACTCCCATTGTGTCTGCAGTGTGGCCTGATCTGTGTGATTGCTCTGCCCACCTACATTGCCCATATTAACCTCCACTAAGATAGCCTTACGTAGGAGCGTGCATGCTCAGAACGCACGCCATCTTGGAAACCTGGTCCGTGCTGTGACGCCATCCTAGTGAGCCTCCCTGCACCTCCCTGCTACACCCCGAGCCCTGGACACCACCAGAGCGGCGGGGATACACCTAGAATGCCGCAAAGGACTTTCTGCTGCAACGGACCACCATTCCTCATGACATGCCTATTATTATCTACTCTTGTGAGTGCATTTTATTATTAAATTTTCCTGCTTTTAAAATCATCTACACATAGAGTGGCAACGCTGTCTCTCTTCTCGTCCAGTTCTATTGTGCCCATCACTCAATGGGCTCTGTCTAATTCTTTTTTGGCAGAGGGGTTCCTATCCAGGAGGGTATTCAGCAAAGCCTGTACTGTTATCTTCAAATCTGGGCCTTTGATAGCTCTAACCAGGGGCGGACTAACAACTCATGGGGCCCCCGGGCAATAGGGGGTCATGGGGCCCCTGTGTCCTTGCCCAAACTCAAAAAAGCCTATAAAAAAGGTACCAGGGGCATCTCATGGGGCCCCCTACTGACCCTGGGCCCTCGGGCAGTGCCTGAGTTTCCAAATGGTCATTCCGCCCCTGGCTCTAACATGCCCAAGGTTCAAAGATTATTTCAACGGCTGCAGTTTTCACTGTCATCTGCTTTCAATCTGAGCTGTGTAAAAACCCATGACAACATTTACGGTTTACAGCAAGACTTGCAGCTTAAGCCTCTTTTTGAACTGTTTTTTATCTGTGTACAGATCCAAGTTTGTCTAAAGCATGTTTAAATTTAAACAAGAAATATGTAGGCAGCTGTAGTCTGCCTACTCAACCAGAGCAGTATCACAGCCTGGAGAGGAAGTCAGGAGAAACCTGGTTTCTCTTTGATTTTCTGGTTCCTGGAGGCAACATTCTGGTTGGTTTTGCTGCATTTAAGTGACCTCTGGCAGCCATCTTGGGCCAGCAGAGTCTTTACAAGTCTCTGCCCCCTGGTGTTGGCACGCATTTGTGAAGTGGCTTATATAGGGAAAGAGCATCCAACTGTCAGGGAAAGTGATAGTGGCAGGGAGAGGTTCCAGCCAAGTAGGGACAGGCTGGGGACTCATATCCCAGCACAGAAGCCTTCCATTTGGAACTGGACCGGCCATGTTGTACTCCGCCCACTGAAGACAGACGCTGTTAGTGCATCTTTACCTGCTGCATCTCTGCCTTGAAATGAACTATGTGAGTTACCCTGAGCAGAGCCCTCCCACTGGGGTTGTTTGTAATTCGCATAATCTACAATACAAGTTCTGAGTTTAAAGTGGAGTTCCAGCCAAAAGGGAAAGTTCCGCTTTAATGGTTTGTCCCCCGCTGCCCATTAAGGATTGGCACCTTTGGGGAGCGGATACCTGAATTTGACAAATACCCGCTCCCACCTCCGCTGCGATTGCCTAGGCGATCGGAAGCGGAAGTTGTCCTCCCTCCCTCCCCGTAGTCTTCTTGGACACATGACAAGTCCCAGAAGACTACGGGGCCATTCACAAAGTGCAGCGCTTCTCGCTCATGTGCAGTGGGCACCCGGCTGTGAAACCACAAGCTGTCACAGCCGGGTGCCCACACTGAAGATGCCGGCGCCAGGGAGAGAAGACGGCCGGTGAAACCAGCCGTGGTGAGTATACCGCTGGACCGACGGACACTTAAGTGTCTGTATTTTAAAAGTCAGCAGCTACAGTTTTTGTAGCTGCTGACTTTTTTTTTCAGCTGGAACTCTGCTTTAACTGCAACTGAACTCTGTGTATTTACTGCATCTACCCACAAGTAATCAAAAAGGGGCAAACTCAATGGAGCACTTCATCTTTTTTGTTACTTTCGTCTCTGCCATCACTCTTCTATACTTTAACTTAGTCCCTAGCAATGTCATTGTTTACACAGGAAACTTTGAATAGAATAATGCGCTAAAATTTTTTGACAGCTGCAGATACTTAAATTTTTAACTGCTTAAAGATAATGTAGATATGCGACTGAAAAAAACAATTAACGGTACATCCTGCAAAGTCTTTTCAAATTGGTTCTTACTGATATTAAACTTCCTGTTTTGGCAACAGATCCAACATTACAACAATCACCCTTTGAGATTTAGCAAAAAAATCCAACAATGTAGTTTTCTATCCAAAACAAACAGGAATTTGTAAGGCTTTAGATAAATCTAAAGGATTAATATAATGAATGAAGATTAAAACTGAATTTAATCTATTCAAACTAATTTTCTCTGAAAACATATTTTCCTTTACTTTCATCAATGCTTGTTTTAATGCTTTCCAGATTTTAAAAGAAAAAATGTGCTATTATTTTTTCCCTTGCTTTTGACAAAAGAAAAAAAAAATCATATCATAAAGGCAATTCTTTGACCAGTCTGCTATTTATTTATTTCAGGTACTTATATATGCTTATTTTTATGCAGTGCTTTAAATATATATTTATGTATAAAGTATATTGTACATTCACATTAGTCCCTAACCCTCAAGGGGTGTATAATCTAAGGTCCCTAATTTACATTCATATATACACATACTAGGGTCAATTAACCTACCAGCAAGTCTTTGGAGCGTGGGAGGAAACTGGAGAACCCAGAGGAAATCCACACAGGAACAGAGAGAATGTGCAGATTCCAGGCAGGTGGTGCCATGGGTGGGATTTGAACCAATGACCCTTGCACTACGAGGCAGAAGTGCTAACCATTCAACCACTGTGCTGTCTGCTATGTGTAAGTCCTATCCCATACTTACTAGTCAAAAAAATATGTTTTACAAGGTTCACTGGAAGTCACTGATTAAACCAAATCTTAAGCTAGGTTCACACTTGTGCGACCTGCGTCTGCGGGAAGGCAGCCTATTCATTACAATGGGCAGCTCTACCCACAGAAAGGCAAGGAAAAAAGTCTCTGCCTCTTTTCTTAAAATTGCACAGCACCGTGCGACTTGGTGTGTGCAAAATGTGCCACATTTTTTGAATGCATGAGGTGCCATTAAGAATAAAGAGCAGCATGTTTTGCTCATGGGTCAGAAATGTGTGTAGTATTGCGAATGTTTCCAGTCTGCACAAGTGTGATTCTAGGATAAGCCTAAATCTCAAATAAGTTTTAATGTGGTAATGTAACTTGTTAGAAGTTTGTATTATTATTTTGAAATATGCAGCTTTCATAATATAATACCTGGAAATCCTGCCATGAAAGATTTTGTTGAGGCACTTTCTATCGTAGAGTTAGGCATAGTCACCCTGTCACATGCACGTGGTTTAGATGTTAGCAAGATCCACCATTGTAAATATCAGGAAGCTGGTCCAGAGCAATTATGTGCCACCAATGCTTAATGCGTGCATGTAGACATGACATGGTTGAAAATGGCTGGAGAAGACCAGCAGCACCAAGATACCTATACGCATGAAAAATTAGTGAAAGCAGCATTTTATTAACACCTATGCTAACGAACCTGTGTAAGGAAATGTACAGTATATACTAACCAATATTCAGGCCACTCCAGGCCAGTCATGCGATCCTACTCCTACTTCCCTGTGTCAGCCAGCCCAGCTTCAGGGGAGAGTAGGGAGCACTGACAATGGATGGGCCATAGTGAGTCTATGAGTCACGTCCAGGGGCGGACTGACCATTTGGAAACTCGGGCACTCAGTAGGGGGCCCCATGAGATGCCCCTGGTACCTTTTTCATAGGCTTTTTTGAGTTTGGGCAAGGACACAGGGGCCCCATGATCCCCTATTGCCCGGGGGCCCCATGAGTTGTCAGTCCGCCCCTGGTCACGTCACCACTCCAGGCTTTACTAGCAATTGTTGGAGTGCTCTCACCTCTCTCTCTTGTAGCATCACTGTCCAACACAGGAGAGAGCACATGACCAGATCTGAGTGGCTTGAGTATAGGTAAGTATATACATTTTTTTTTACATAGTTCAGTTAGCATACCATGGGTAAAAAAATGCATCATCCCCCTTTAACCGCTTACCCGCTGCAGTATAGCAGATATGCTGCTACACGGCGACACGGGTGTGCAAAATTACGTATATATATACGTGATCTTGCATTTCCGGGTAGGGGCCGCGGATGTCAATCACTGGGTCCCGGCGGGTAATTACCGGGTGATTACTGAGCATCTCTGACGGGGAGGAAGACTGTTTTGTTTACTAACAGTCTTCCTCCCTGTCAACTCGAGCACACTGCTCTGGATGGCTGTGCACAGCACTGCTATCCAGAGCAGTGTGCTTACAGTGAAGCACACATCTCTCGCCCCCTGGTGAAACACTCCCCTCACATGAACCCCTTCCTGCCCAGTGTCATTAGTACAGTGTCAGTGCTGTTTTTAGCACTGATCACTGTATTGGTGTCACTGGGGATGTCAGTGACACCAAGTTAGTTCCCCCCCAGTGTCAAAATGCCTGCCACGGTCCCGCAGTCCGGCTAAAAGTCACTGATCGCCACCATTACTTTTAGGAAAAAAAATCCCAGTATCTATACTGCAATTTGTAAATGCTAGAACTTTTATGTACATTTTTAAATTCTAAATTTATGATGAAATTTGATTTTTTAAATTTTTTTACTGGACATGTTTAATAGCAAAAAGTCCAAAATACAGTTTTTTTCTGAAAATTGTCAGTACTTTTTTGCTGATAGCACAAAAAATAAAAAACGCACAGGCGATCAATTCAGGGGAAAAAAGTTTGTAAATTTCATCTAGGGCCGGCGCAGCATGACCGCGCAATTGTCAGTTAAAGTAATGCACAGCCGTAAAGCAAAAAATGGCCTAGTCAGGAAGTGGGGTAAATCCTCTGAAGGGCAAGTGGTTAAAAGCCTTTAGTCTGTTGGGATTTCTCTACTAACTTTACAAATCTGGACTTTGCAATATTTGCCCACTCTTTGCAGAACTGCTTACGTTCAGATACATTTGATGGTGACCGTTTGTGGACTAAAGTCTTTAAGTTATTCCACAGATTTTCAATGGGGTTTAGGTCTGGGCTCTGACTAGGCCATGCAAGGACATTCACCCTTTTCTTTTTCAACCACTGTATGGTCAATTTTGCTGTGTGCTTTGAGTCATTTTCATATTGGAAGTCAACCTTCTTCCCATTGAAAACGTTCCGGCAGAGGGTAGTAGATTTTCCTCAAAGCAACAAGATGTGATTATTTTAAAGAGGGGTGAATCTTCTCTGTACCCACTGTATGTGTTAAGAGTGGGAAGAGGACTAGACCAGCTTCCGTCAGACAGTCTGCTGTACACAATTTGACATTTGGACAGTTTCTGTTCAACTGGCTGATATTTGGCCTTAAAAGTTGAAAAATGTTCATGTAAATATATTATAGTCACCAAGGATGTACGTCTACCACACACCCAGATATTACTTTGTAAAGGTAGCATTGATATCAATGTATTACACATAGCCTGCGCAGAGAGTAGAGGTGTGAGTGGGACCCAGCAGGTCCTCACATAAATTTGTGTTTGACACACCAAGTCTCTTTTTAATATAAATTAAAAAAAAAAAAAAAAAAAATTCATGTAAATTGGACTTTTTTAAGTGCCAAAGACAACAGATTAAAACATATAATTTTAATGTCTTTTATGTTGCCATTGACACCTTTAAATTCATTTACATGACTGTTTTCGGGTTCTTTGCTTTATATAAGTCTTATATTGGTTGAATAATGGCTCTTTGCATTATATAAGCTCACTTTGTCATAAAATGTAACAGGACAGGAAGTATGTTTTGTTTTAAATATATGAGTGTAAAGTCTTATCCATTTGTGCTGATCTTTGAGTTTCCTAACTGTACAGCCCTGCCCAACAGGAAGCAGCTGCAGCTGGCTGTTCTATATGCTTTGGGCCAACACATCTCTGGCTCAGCTGTTTTTTTTGGTGCACTCGCCTTTCTGGGCCATAACTGGACACCACCAATCTGGGATGGGTTCACTTCCTTTGACATTGTTAAGACATTTGACTAAATAGGTGACTGTTCCAAGTAGGTGAATCACATCAGTCGTCAGGGTATGGCTAACAATAGAAGCTCTATAAAATAGGCTGTATAAGAAAAAATTGGGATTACTTTTGTTAACATACAACCTAAAGCCTTTGTAGGTTTCATTTCAAAAGTGCCTTTTTGAGTTTTGAAATACATAGTTTGCACATATTCCAAGGAACCCCATAGTGTGACAAAGATAATATCATGTTTAATTCCTTTCCTTATATATATGTGATTTGTTCTTGGGTAGGGGACACGCGCGCCAACCTACCCGTGCTGCTATTGGTGGCTGGGGATGTCAATCACTGCGTCCTGGCCGGCGATTCCCGGCCAGCACTCGGTGATTGTTGGCAAAGCTGACAAGGGAGTGACCTGTGTGTAAAAACAGGTCTCTCTCCTGTAAGCATGGACATGCTGCTTTGTATCCCTCTGCACAGCAGAGAGATACAAAGCAGCATGTCTCCCAAGTAAAACAGCAAACAGAGCACAATGTAAAATACACACAGCACGCAGTTAACCCTTTGATCGCCCCAGATGTTAAATCCTTTCTGCCCAGTGTCATTAGTACAGTATCAGTGCTGTTTATTAGCACTGATCACTGTATTAGTGTCA